AAAGACATAAAATGTACCCTGTTCCCCTGCATGAACTCTGTCTTGCAGATTATAGCATGGGGCCATCACTCCTCACTTCCATACAGGAAGCTGGGGATAGGGTTGGCTGAGATGAGTCATGGATAGAGCAATTGCTCTGGCTATCAATGTACTGACAAGCATAGCTGAACCCTGCAGAGTGAAAAAGAAAAAAGGCCAATGTAGATTCCTTATCCTCATAGAGCAAGCAGAGCCAAATTAACACATAGGCAAACTAGGCACAAGCCTAGGGCCCTAAGTGAAGAAGGGGCCCAGTTGTGCTTATTTTATGTATTATAATTATTGAGTGAAAAAATCAATAATTTTGCCCACGAGTCTGTTTGCCGAGGGTCCACTGATGGGTTAATCTGGCCCTGAGAGCACGTCTACCTTCTTTCTGTAAAGCTGCTGTATGTATTGCACATCATGCAGTTAGAGTTGCTTTCTCCATACCTTACTTTCATATGCAGGTAAAAGAATCTTAATTATTTCTTTTCTTTTGTCTTCGCAGTATCTAGCTTATGGCTGGAATCTCTGAAGCAGTAGGAGCTTACCATTACTGCTTCTGGTTGATGAGTTGTACAATGCATTGTAAACTCCTGTAATAATGTGCTCACTCTCTATTTTTATATTGTGCTACATAACTTCCCGTATGTATTTACTTGCTTTCCTCTCCAATAGCTTCAAGATCAGTATATGTTGTTGGCACCATTTCTTTTTCTCCACAATGTCCAGGTTTCCTGCTGTTCCTGCAGCTGCACTTTTCTTGCCTCCAGTTTTTACATTTGTGCCATCTTCCATACCTAATGTCAAATTTCACTGTCACATTTAGCAGTTGTATACACCTGTAGTTTATCTTCTCAACAATAGTAGTATTAGTAAATATTCATAGTTTGGTAGCACCCAAAGGCCCCAGTCAGAATTTTTCTACTCTCACTATTGATATCTTGCATGAAGTAGCAGGGTCAATAATTTTCTGTTGGCTCCAAAATTGTTTTCCTTGCAACTTAGGTTGGTGATTGATGGCTTTCCTAAGTCCTCACCTTCTTCCGATGTAGCTGGCATTTCATTTTCTTTTTCAGTTTGCTTTTGAGGTGAAGCATATATACATGACCATAATTCATGTAAAGGCAAGTTGACCCTTTGATTCTCATCTTTGATTGAAGAAAGCTTTACTTATTACAGATAAATTATTAATATAGAAACAGGTGATCAAAGCCTCCTTCACCATGGTGTTCATTCCACCAGGCATCCCATTTGGCCTAGCCTTCCCACCTCTCCTTCCCCCATTTCTTTTATTTTATTTGCATTTGTAATGCAGTGACTTGATGTTGTCATGTTCAACTGCAGAACATGCACACCTAGAGAACTGGAATGGGCCAGTCAGTATTGAAAAGTAAGATGAACCAATTTGCTTTGCCTGTGGATCTGCAAAAATTGGTGAACAATTCTTGCTAGGTGATTTCATAGATTTCATATACATTAGAGCTGGAAGGGACCTCGCAAGACCATCGGGTCCAGCCCATGTCCAAAGGGCAGGCAGTCAGCAGGGGTCAAATGATCCCAGCAAGATAAGCATCCAAGTGCTTCTTAAAGGAATCCAGTGTAGATGCCTGCACCACCTCTGGGAGGAGTTTATTCCAGGCCCTAGGGACTCAGACAGTAAAGAAGTTTTTCCTTAGGTCCAGTCTAAAACGGCCTTCTAAGAGTTTGTGACCATTGGACCTAGTCTACCTATGGGGTGCTCTGGTGAACAGTTGCTCTCCCAGTTCCCAGGGCACACCCCATATATACTTACAGGATGCCACCAAGTCACCCTTGATTCTACGCTTCTCTAGGTTGAAGAGTAACATGTCTCTCAGGCTCTCCTCATGAGGCCTGCCCTCTTGTCCTCTAATCACTTGTGTGGTTCTCCACTTGACTCCCTCAAGTTTCTCCACATCTTTTCTGAATTGCAGAGCCCAGAACTGGACACAGTATTCCAGCTGTGGTCTTGCTAAGGCCAAGTAAATTGGAAGGATGACTTCCTGGGTCTTGTCTGAGATGCATTGGAAGATGCAGGCCAGAGTTTTGTTTGCTTTGGCCGCTGTGGCATCGCATTGGTGGCTCATGTTCATCTTGTGGTTAATCATGGCCCCTAAGTCTTTTTCAAAGTAATTTGATTTACTTTTTTAAAACTATAGGTTTGATTCAGTCCCAGGTTACTTTCCCTTTCACTGACCGAATCCAGAATGCAAAATCCTGGTGGCAAACAGACCTTCTGGAAGGGGTGAAGGATTGCAGTATAGTACATGGAACTTGCAAACTTTTCATGTACTGCAGTCCTGAAGCAATCCAGTATAACCTTCAAAGTGGGGTCTTAATGTAGGTGTGGCAAGGGCCCACATCCTCCAGGAAGCTGCTGCTGGTACACAGACACTCTAGTTGGAATTTAAAGCTGTTTTCTCTAGGGCAACTGTTCCTGCCCTCTCCTGTGGCTAAGTCTCTATTTGTGTAACTTGAGAATATATAAAATGCTCATCTTTGTGCCTTCAAGGTGAACTGAGCCCCCTAATCCTGACTTCTTGTTAGAGGTTAAGATACTGGTTTACTCATAAGGAAATTAAATTTATCCCACAGGGAAAACAGAGTGGATACATGATAGACAGCCTTACTACAGAGTAAGTTACTCCACAGTGGAGTACAGTGGGCACATCCACATGAGATGCTATGTTGCTGTAGCAGCAAGCTACTGCACCGTAGCTCATTGCTATGGTGAGGTAGCGTTGCTGGGCATAAAACATGATGGTAACACTACTGCACAGTAGCAATGAGCTGAAAATAACCATGCAGTGATTGGACTGCTTAAACAAGTACTAAATGACTGTGAAGTAATAACTGCACAGTCCAATGCACATGTAGACTTCCCCAGTGAGGAGTAACTCCACAGAAGTGTAAATTATGCCAGTGTACCTGTGATGTGCTTATTCTCCTAGACCGGTACTTACTCTCCTAGACAATTTCACCCCTGGAGTAGTTAATGCAAACCACATTTACCAACACCTACTGACCATGTGCTATTATAACACCTACTTATGCAGCCAGCGTGGAGGTAACCAGTCACATATTTGCTTCTTACTATGGAGGAAAATCTAGGGTAAATTACTGTGTATATTGTGTGTCTACACCCATAATCTATGCTATCAGCAGTAAGAGATAGGGCTGTGCAAAATTTTGGCAGCAGTTTTGTTTTGGAGGTGTTTCGGACCCATCCCCCAGCCTCCTGGCAATTAAAAAAAGAAAAAGCCCCGCACTGACCAGCTGCAGCAGCGGTGATTGGGGTCTCTGGGCACTTATGTCAAAGCCTCCCCATGCAGTGCAGGGAGCAGCGGGAATTGCCCCCACTTTCCTGGCAGCTGCACCGCAGCTGCCCCATGGCACAGGTGCAGCATTACTCAGTAGGGTGCTGTGCACTGTCTGGGAACTGGGGCTGCTAGGGCTGAGCAGTGCCAGCCTGTGGCTGACTGCTGGAGCAACCCCAGCTCCTGGACAGCATGAGATGCCCATGTGATGCGACAGCTGCTGTGCAGGTGTCAGCAGGGCTGAGTGATTCCCGCTGCCACCCACTGCCCTGCGCTGCACAGAGGGGCTCTGCCATGAGCCTTCAGAGGCCCCAATTCCTCCTGCTTCAGCCAGTGGGTGCAGAGCGTTGTTTTTTTTGTTTGTTTTTTTCTAAGTGTCAGGAGGCTGGTGCCAGGTGAGGCATGGGGCTGGGCAGGTTAGCCATGGGGGCTTCTTCCATGGCTGCTCCTGCCAGGGCAGAGGTAGGCACAACTGGAAGAAGCCACAGGAGAACCTGCAGCTGCCCAACTGAGCCTGCCTCTCCCTGGCCAATGCAAATCTCAGAATCAGTGCTGAAACAGTCTCAAAACTCCAAAACAGATTCGGCCAAATCGAAATGGAACAGTGATCCAAAACACCAAAATGAATCACTGTCCTCTGAAACAGCTGAATCTGAAACCAAAATGAAACATAGCCATTTCACACAGCCCCAGTAAGAGAGTACTGAAAGTACAGGTCTGCTGTATTTTTCAAGAAAAGCATTTATGGCTTTGAATGATAAGAAACAGTCTCTAATGCCAGAGAAGCATATGCATTTTATTATATATATTTATAATCCAAGGATTTTATAAGCAATATCACAGCTAATATTATACCTCCTATATGTATACCCTATGTCAATATTACACCTCTGTTGCATCATTGCTCACCTTCTCAGAGCATTCTTTATTTTACAGCCACAATTCTTTCATTCTCCACAAAATGGCACCAGTTCATGCTCTGGGGTGGATAAGAGCATCCCATAGGTCTTCTTCTGTAGTGCACTCAGGTGATATTCCCACTGATTTCACGGGTTGGTTTAGCTGAGCAGAGAATGCTAGATCAGGTCCCAGAAGTATGTACTGGCTGAAATCAAGGGGAGCTGCACCGGTAACTTCAGTGAGGTCAGGTTTCAGCATGGCAGAACTGAAAGTCGTCATCTTTTGTGGTGACTTTGTAAGCCCTATAGGAGCCTGCACCACACTTTTTATAGGCTGTATCTCCACAATGAGCATACTGGCCATACAGTAGTGCCCTCAAGCATGCTGTGATGAAGGAGTGGGAAGCACGTCCTTAAGACACTTCGGATAGCTTAGTGGAAATTATTATACTACTTCAAATTAGACCACGTACAGCGCCTTGTGGACACTGCTATACTGCTTCCCATTGATGAGGAAGTCTGCCTATACTAATTTAGTGGGCTTAAGTGCATCACAGGCAGACAAAGTTTGCCATGAAGAGTGGTCACAGTGGGACAGTCATAGTCACATTGACATTTTGGAACTGCTGCCATCTGCTGTAACAGGACCGGGATTCAGCGTGATACAATATTCTCATAGTGAGTGTCATTGGACGACATGAGCTGAATCCAATCTAATTCTGTTTACTATCTTCATTTATAGCTACCTCATCCCTGAATTCCCAGCTTCAGCAACTTCAGCATCTTCAGCAGCTCCAGCATCAGCAACAGCAGCAGCAACAACAAGGGCAACAACCACCACAGCAGCAAACAAGCCAGCATCAGCAACCAGCTCAGCAGACACAACCACCGCAGCAGCAGCCCCAACAGCAGCAGCCCCAACAGCAGCCCCAACAGCCGCAACAACCCCAACAGCAGCAGAACCAAACACAGCCCCAGAGCCAGAGCCAACAAACGCAAGCTCAGCAGTCCTCCAGCTCGCCTCAGAAACCCAACCAGTCACCAGGACACGGCCTTCCTTCTCCTCTCACTTCACCAAATCCACTGCAGGTAGGATGTTACCTGATGAGCAAAAATCTGGGTAGTGGCAGATAGTAAACTTCTACCCACTTTAGGGAAAATAAAATGGACCCTGCATGTTCTGAGCAAACAGACTGATTGGTGGCAGCTAATTTGAATCAGTCCTTCATTAGCCTGCTACTTGAAGCCAATAGCCTATGCCTGACAATTTAGAAAAGCTGTTAAAGTGGGGCTGGCGTTTTATAATTCTTAAGATTCATGACTCCGAACCAAACTGAAAAGTAAGGTTGGCTGAAAAGAAAAAATTCCATTTCTCAAAATAAAAGTCAGGGTTTGTCATTTGTCATCCAACACAGCCAAAACCTTCCACATTTTTTTATAAGAAATTAAGTGGAAGAGAGAGGGAACCACCCCCCCACACAAGAATAACAATAGTCCCACATCCCATTCACGTGGGATGTGGGAGGCCAGGGATACTGGGATGTGTACCCGGTCTCCCACAACCCAGATGAGAGATGAGGCTATTGGCTCATCTCGGCTACTGGCTATTCTCAGTCTATAGGCTATTCTAAAGCAGATCTTTCTCCTTTTTCTCTGTGGTTTCTCTCGGGTCTATCCTGTATCTGAGAACCTTTTCTCAATTACATTTGCATTCAAAAATACCCTGAAACTGCCAGGTCTGCTGAACAAAATTCAGCTCTACTGGATTTTAAGAGTTCTCTGAAGATGAAGAAACTAGACAGTTGCATTTCAGGTAGTGGCAGTAGCTGATGAAAAATCAGTGCTCAAACCTGATCTGGATCCAGGTTAGGGTTGGGTGTGATGACATCTGAATCTGGCAAGCTGTTCCCATGATTTTTTTTCCATGAAATATTTCCAAAAGTCAGTTCCCAGACCATTTTAATCATCTTCCAATGAAATCAATGAGAATAGATTTGACTGTACTCACAAACATAATTTGAAATCATATGTAAGGAGCTGATCCCTGGAGGCCACTTTTCAGAGTTGATCTGCACTTTAAGTAACAGCTAGAAACATTGCAAGAGTGGTGGCTTACTTTCTTTTATAAAACTTTGCATGCCTTTAAGTTGTTATCTACAGTTTGGTTTCACCCCTGGGTCTTTAACATTTCAAAATACTTTTGAATGCAAGTAATGGAATCCGTTTAAATGAGGCTCAGCCTTGTCCATACTAGCCAGTCAAGCCACATTTAATCTGAGTTAAACCAAGGTGAATAAAATCTGTTTTTAAAAATGGTTCAGCTAATAGGCTTAAAAATCCACTGGAGATTGTCCTTACTCTATGAGCCTTTTCTACTTCAGAGAATAATGTTTCCAGAGCTCCTACTGTGTATTGTATTAAGGGCTACTTAGGCACTACTGAATGTACAGTCTATCATGTTAGTGAGTGCTTCGGGACTCTTTAATATGCAAATTATTGACACACAGAGACAGAAATAGCTCCAAAGGAATTGCTATTACATGTTATTATCTTAGTATAGCAGCCATGAATGTATGCTAAGTACATACAGTATACACTAGTGAGAATGCCTGTTAAATCTTTGCCTCAGAAGTTACTTGGCATTTAGTTTTCAAAACAAATATCCAGTTTTTCATTCCATTTATGAATTTCCAACTATTTCTAGTACAGACAAGCCAAAACCAAGGCCTCAAATCTAGAAATATTCACATGTTGTTTGGATTCATACAACTTCATACATAAGCCCACTCGTAGCAGCCTGGGGTCTAAATGAAACCTAAAACTATGTGCAGGCTCCAGTTTTGGTGAAGATGCATTTTCTTATGAAAAGAACTGTCCTCATGACACTGATTGAAGCTAGCAATTAATGAAAACAGTTTGAGAGATTACTGCTAATACTAAATAAAACACTGATGTGGCTTCAGACTCTCACCCAAACCTAATCTGGATTAAGAGTCTCTGTATTTCCATCTCTGGTTTGCTTTTGATCCTAACTAGTAGGACTGCAAACTCAGCTTAACAAACAACATCATTTCTCAATTTTAGAAAAACAAAAAAATATGTGTAACACCAGTAATTTTTCCTTGCTTGACGTGTTGATACAAATGCTGTTACCATCCATAGTGATGACACCTCACCATCTTCAATGCATTTAACTTCACAATCCCTCCTCCCTCCCTGGAAACAAGGAAAAAATACTATGGCAATTGTGTAATGGGGAACTGAGGCACAATCCCAGGCTACACTGCCAGTCTGTAATAAAGCGGAGAGTTGAACCTTGGTCTCCACAGTTGTAGGCTAGTTCCCTAGCCCTCCCGCCCTTTACAATTTACACCCAGTATCAGCAACCATACGTATGCTTTAATGCACAGTAGCCTATTTACTGTGCATGCAAGTGTCACATAAAAATGTGATTATGCTAATGTGCAGTAAAATAGCTACTGTGCATTAAGCATTACTTAAAAACTGTGCATGTTTGTTACTCCACATTAAGGCAGCCTAACGCACGTTTCTTTAATACCTCACATTGGAGATACTAAATTCAATGCACATTAGAAAAAGGACCTTAATGCACGTATAGAAAGGCTCAGTGTTAATGAAAGGGATGAGGGAGCCTGCTGAGACAACAGAGATGTAATTTGGAGAGGCTTTTTGTGCAGCACTATTAGGCCAATCACAATTGTGCCCTGGAATTTTAAGTTAAGTTTTATACTCTCAAAGTTTGTAGAAATCCTTAACTCAGACGTTTTCCAAGACTAAAATATGAAAGAAATAACAGTTTTACAAAATATAAACACATTGACTGTTGACACTTGGAACAAAAGCCCTTATTTCGTTTTAAGAATGTGAGCAGTCCCAATGGCTTAGTCTGTGAACATTTCTAAAGCAGAGAGCAATACTCCTGGAGTTCCCAGAATATATTTAAAGATACTTAAGCATGACTTAAAGCAGTCTGTCATATTACTGAGTGAGGTGGGACTCTTTAATATTCAAATCAGTGATATGTAAACACAGAAATGTCTCCAAAGGTGGGGGGTTATATTCTAACTTTGCTCTAGAGATATGCTTAAATGCCTTTGAAAGGGCTTGTTGAACATCTCTGCCATCTATACAGATGGTCCAATACAAAACATCATCCAAAATACCCTTGCTTCTTGCATATTTCTTAGACCATAACTGCTGCAACAACACTCCGATCTTACTCCCTGAATGGGTAGCAGTAAGGTTTTTTTCTTTCCAACCCCAGTCCTACAATCTGACCTACAAAGGGGAGCCATTTCCTCCATGTGGGTCTAATGTCAGGATTGGGTCCACGCCTGTTCTCCTGTTTTACAATTCCCCTGATGTACAAATATAGAAAAAATAGCATACAGCAGGTTTTTTGGCACCCTCCCATATATCCATTTTATAATAACTGCTTAGAATGCGGATATTTTTTTTGTGTCTGATACTTTAGCTTAAAAATCGACCTGGAGCCAAATTCAAAGATATTATGGCCTCCAAGGTAATGATCTTTATGAACTAGAATGAAATGGGTTTTTTTGAAGAATATTAAGGGAATAAGGACCAACTAAGTTAAAATTTGACAGGTTAAATTTCATTTCTGAATTCTTGATTTTTCATGTGGGTTTTATCCTCTTACATTATTCAGGATCTGTCTGAGAGATATTAGTTTAGAACAATGCAACCTCAAAAGATTGTCTTGGAAAGTCAGTAATTCAAAAGGATGATTGTGTTTGTTTCAAAAACTCTGAAGGATAACAACAATTATATCTCAAAATGTACAGATGCTGTCATGTCTTCAGAAAGGAAATTAAATGAAAGTGACTTGCTTAGGCAAACCTGGGTGAGGTGCTTTCTGTAGCTGATCAGAAATTAATAACACTGCTGCACTGCTCGCTGGCTAAAATTCTCAGAATGATTCTTGTCAGATTGTTTTGTAATATTGCACTATAATTTTATTACCATCTGTTACTCAATTCAGTGGACTGGATTACATTTACAAAAAAAATATTGTTTCTTAGCAAGCTTCATAGTTACTTTATAATAGTACAAGAGAGACCCCAGTCTGGATTATTTTACTCAAGGGGCTCAATTCTGCCTGACTTCTATTGTGATACTCATAATTTACACTGGCGTAAGTCAAAAAGGAGCATCAGGCCTATCACTGGTTTCCAAAGTACCTTGTGCTGAATGAGAACTGCTAGCTGTGGGGCATCTGACCCCACGAGTCCTGGATAACTCCCTGTTGCTACACCTGGCATTGGGGCGGGGCAGGGCAATACAGGAGCCAGTTACCATGTATTCAGACCATCTCAGGGCAGGGGAATTGTATCCTGGGTAGCTGCAAAAATATTCAATGGATATTTTTGGAACTACAAGGTCTCCATACTATGCTGTATAAAACCGGGTTACCAAATAAGTAGCCCACCTTTCTGGTTGGCTACCAGAACAAAATGCTTTGGATGTATGTTCAACTCTGGCCCCAGATATGAATCTAGCTACTTATTTTAAACATGGATCATATGCCTGAGCAGTATAGATCAGTTGATCCCACCGATAGGCAGATCTGCTAAGTAAAATCCTTACTCCAGGTAGAGAAGAATCCCAGCTCTGTTCCTGTGCAAAGATAAGCAGACAAACAGGGATCCCCAAGGGATTGCCCTGACTGTAAAATTATTCTGTCCATTTTCCAAACTCTTTGCTAAAGGACCTTTTTGTCATAGAAGCCTACCTACAATAACTGAAACTGAAGAAGGAAGATGATGAGTAAAAATAAAAGGGATGGAGTAGGGAACTGGGGGACACAACAAAAACTTTCCAAGCAAGAGCAAACCTGAAGATAGCAAAAACAGAATCTACTTCAGATTAAATTTTCATCCTAATCTTAAATAATGCATTTGGCACCTCGATACTTTTATAACAAAGAAAAAAAGAAAGAAAGACTGAAAAAACTCAGCCATAAATGAGAGAGAGTGTGTACACAAATGCCTGAGGCTCCAACAGCCACCAAAAAAAATACTTTTTCAAGGGTTAGTTTCTCATTAAAA